GTCAGCAACGGTGGGGTATCCGAATGGTTCACGCTTTCGTCGGCCTCATTTTCGAATTTCTGCCGGAAATAACGCATCGAAACTTGAATTAGAATAATGTAAAATCTTATTTAATACACTTATATTATGTATGAGCAGCCGTGCAAATACCGTACACAAGCAAAGCGAATTAAACGAACATCTGAACTTTCTACCCACAAAATATAGAACTTTTTTGTCAACAAACCTAAGACACTCCGTCCCTCGCGTAAGTCAAAAACTACAACGTACAGGTTGAACATGAATATACGCCGAATATGAAATAAATGTACCTCCTCAAACTCTAAAAATTCCAATTAAAATTGCAAACGAAGACTCAATGTTCCATCAACCCGAATTGAAATGGGAAGCAATCTGACGAATAGCAATTAACTTCAGAAAATAGAATATTTTTTCACAAGAAAGGTACCAGATGATGCATGACGTTGCACGTGGAATCGTCCAGTTTATGTCCCGCAATTAGCTTGGACTACGATCATAACATGAGCATAAAAAAGAGGTTTTCATTTGAATGAGACCAATTTAGTTGACCATACATCCAACTACCACAGTACTTCGAGTTACACGTAGAACTTCGTCAATTATGAAACCCCAATTACTTCGAATTAAAATTGAGATAAAAAGCATATTTCTGGAGCGTGGATATGATAATACAGGTGGCCTCTCTCGACAACGATTTTGATAACAATGATTTCATCCGTACATTTGTACAATACTTTCATTTTATTTTTTCTACAGTATAGGATTGTCTTTTCATTTTACAGAAGTTCTCTGCGCATAAATGCTCTAAACAACGAATTTTTTTCTGGTTCCTTGAATTTCGCTGTACAGAGAGTCCACCTGCACACAAATGAAGCAGGTATTCGCGAATCTTACGGATTTAAAAATTTTTCCAGTACATCATAATATCGTGAACTTTTCCGACTTACGGATAAAAATTCAGCCTCGAACCCTCCGCGCGTGGATTTCACACTACCCGCTCCAACGCTATCTTCTTCCGACGTAGTAGCAGTATTACCAATGGCAGTGAAGTCACAAACCGGGGCTTCGGTCGCCGCCACCCGTAACGGAGCATCGCTCTCAAATGTAGCATTCGAGAACAATTTCTTGAGAATATTCTCTGGTTGAGACATTCCGACGGTTTCTGAATACGTTTCTTCCCTCGTCGTTCTAAACCCTACTTCCACCAGTTCTCCACCGACTATGGCCGGGTCTCCGGCTTGTGGTCTCAACGGTTTGGGTTTGAAAAGTTTAGGTTCTTCCAGCCTTTCTTCGTCACATTCGTATGGGTCGAAATCTTCGTCGTCTGCGTCTCCGGCGGAATCGTCAAAATCCTGCGCCTAACAATAATAAATATATATAATACAATCTGACCATTTATACAACTCCAGTGGTGACGTCAACACGTACAGAACTTGAGTGTCACTTTAATTACAAATAAATTAAGAACGGGAAAATTTTCGAAGATGCTCTGAGAAATGAAAAACAGTTTCAGAGAATATCATTCTTGGTGGGATGAGGTCTGCTTTACGAAACGCCGTTTAAATATATATTTTTTTAGAAATAGAATATCGCTGTGGGTTGAATTAGTCCACCTGGATTATTCTACATTGATTGAGTACAGAGTACAAGAGAAAAATAAAATTGATAGAATACTGCGTGGTAAAAAACTGAGCAGGCACCGAAAAAGAAGAGTTCCCATATCTAGCCAAAAGTTAATATTAATAAATTCCACAATTCTTACTTTCTTGCATAATCATGCTCGCAGAACTTGCTCTTCAGTACTGTATTTGCTTTCTTTGCGTATGCCCGAATAACATTCACCTCCTGCACATACCAAAAGTACTGCATCTCTTTTATCATATCATGCAAATAAATTAGCTGTACCACGAAAACGCGGACCGTCAAAATATCTAGAAAAACTAAGCCAAATGTCACAGAAACGATGTCCTTTTCGTGTACTTGAATATCACGACAGTTCAACAACAGTATAAGCACGGGATGAAGTGCGACCTACGGAGGGATCGTACATAAGGGATGTTTACTCACCCGAATGGCTTCATTGTGCCCTTCGACAAGCAACTGAAGCATGGACTTTTGTCTGCGACGAGAATTAGCTACCAAAGCGCGCTGCTCTTCTTGTCGATCATGCAACATCTGTCGATGCTCGACGCGGATCGACTGGAGCACTTCCATAATCCGACTACACTCCGCACGGTCGTAAAACCACAGCCCATAAATCTGACCTAAAAAAAACGAATTGTCACTCACTAAGAAAATATATCTCGAGTAAGTTGAGCAGTGCAAAGGAATAGCTGCAATTAAACCAGCATGTTATCTCCACTTTCCACCCTAATCCAAACATTTCCAGCTTCGGTAGACATCACAGCGCATTTAACGTTTCTTTTGAGTCATCTCTTGTTTCATTCGATTTAAGCGGATTTCTAATGCTATTAGGTTTACATTAACCGCACAGACTTTCATCCGATATAGTTTTTGTTTTATTCCAAATAACTAATTCGCGGCTTTCCCGTTTCACACAATTCATTACTTGATGCAGTTCTTGATACATTCAGATTTAGAAAATTGCATTACCGGATTGATTCATCCACTGGGTACTCAAATTATAAGCACTCCATACGTATTCGTGGCAAATTAACATGCTTTGAGGACTGCTTACCGTGCTTTGTACGATAGAGAAGAAACGGAGGTTGATGCTCGAACTCCAGATCTGGTAACAACGGTTCAACCCACAGCTTCGTGCTTGTTTTTGTAACAATAACCATTGTGAAATACGGCGAAGCAGCTCTGCAGAAAAAATCATAACGATGCGTAAATCACTGAACGACACACAAAAACCACACCTGTGTTACACACCTTGAGCAAATATGGAAGCCGCCGGCATAATCAGCTTTCACCTACAGAAAAGCAATCCGCATTGATCAGCAAGTTGGAGATTACTAGATCATGAAGAAAATTATTAAGATTGAAAAGTATTCTGTCAACTTACCCAGCTGCCGTTTTCGTGCTCATATAATTGCACCTGCTTTGCGGAGCAGACGATGGAGTTCACAGAAGCATCTATTCGCCGCACAGTCCGCATATTAATCGAGTCTGCCATTTTGTACGCATCCACTCCACTTTCGAAAAAAANTTTGGCGACAAGGCTATCGACATCATCAACCTTGATGCCGGCTTGACGAGTCGGTGGATCCTCGACGGATATCACTTTGATTCGGGATGAAATGTCGACTCCGAGGTCCTTTGGACTCAGCTTCTGAACAGGCTTCTTCTTGGCTTTCTGAAAACCGTAACATAAACGGGCGTTTATCGTTCACTCGTCTTCATGGTACAATAAGAATTTAGGAAGCAGTGAAAAATATAAAGGGTGTCAGTAAACAGAACAAACCTAGTCCAACTAGTAATCCATACCTTGAGTGCAGTAGCAACATACTAAACCATAGCACTTGCTCAAAAAATTACATTCACTCGACTGAATCTTCTAACCTAATCTACATAGCCAATGTAATTAACCAATTAAAAACAGTCCCACTTCAAGAAAAACTTCCACATCTAATATCGTTCGAGGAGTACACATAAATTCCAGAAAACTTAGGGGAAGCTATGAAGAAAAATTCAGTTTTCACATTCATGAATAACGTATGTGATTGTTTCCAAGGCGAGTCGAGTACAAAACAAGTCCCATAAAAGCTTTGCAAAACCATGAAGTTTAGATCAAAACTTTTCAGAAGAGAATCCTATTTGACCTTCAGATCATCTGATATGTGATGTGTGAACGACAGTTTAGGTGAAAGAGGGGACCCACTCAGACACACTAGATACTGTACACGGTTTACAAAGTGGAGCTTATATAGAGCTCGAAAGAAGAAAATACACACAACAGAAGATTTTATCTCACCATTATGTTAGGTAACGTCGCATACCGAGGCTCATTTAATCGCAAATCTGCTGAAATAACTGCCGGGATCTTCACTTTGACATCCTCCAAACCCCCGTCGATTTCCCTGGTAACTGCAAGATCATCGCCTGCCTTTTCTATCTTAGATGCAAACGTAGCTTGAGGCCAATCGAGCAAAGCTGCGGTCATCTGCGCAGTTTGGTTGGCATCATCATCTATCGCTTGTTTTCCAACAATGATTAAGTCTATCTTCTCCTTCTTGGCAACAGCTGCCAGAATTTTGGCTACGTGGATTGGCTGAAACACTGACATATCGGCATTCGGAATTTCTACGTGGATCCCCTTGTCCGCGCCCATAGCTAGAGCAGTTCGAATGGTTTCCT